TACTGTTGACCACCAAGACGCCGTGTTTACCCTCGCAATATTTTCAGTTGGTTGTAGTTGATATCGGTTTAATTGCACAGCCCAATTTTCGAAGTTAGATTCGTTTCGCTAACGTTTAGTTTGGATCGCGGGTTGGAAAAAACCTTCCTCACCCTACATTTTGGCGCCCAACGTGGGGCAGTGCTTTAAATTCAGATTATTGCTCGCGTTGAAATTAATCTTGTTAAAATTAATTTAATGTAATAAAGTTTTAACGCGTCTATTATAAAAATAACTTTTCGTGTTTCGCTCTTGGTGGTCATCATTTGGCTCGCGCACCATCAACTTCATCATCATCGCTGGAGGACCTCACCGTTGGCTACCACCGTTGGACATCATAGCAGTCCCATTTGTTCGCAAAATTGTACAAGGTCGGAGAACGGTCATTGGATCAAGTGCCGCTCAGACCGCCGCTCGGTCATACGCTGAGCGTTCACACTTCATTTGCACACTTGCTCCCCTGCCACCGTCAACACTTGTCGTTGCTGCCTTCGTCGCTACGCGAAGACTGCTCTGCTCATACTTGCTTCGCTACCGTCGCTGCTGCTCGCTAATTAACTGCCTCTACACACTTCTAACACGCTAACGCGCACACTTGCAAATACGCCGACGCGCGCTTTCTCTCATTTGATCACGCATTGTATTGCTGTCGCTGCCATCATTAGTCGTTGCTGCTATTTCGTTGGCGTGTGCTAGCCCTTCGTTGTCGCACACCTTCGCTTCGCCACCGCTCATTACGCTAGCGCTCACTCGCACTTCGCTGTCGCCACTACATTTTTTATATCTGTCCGCACAACGCTCACTTAGTTTTTGCTGCCTAACTTTCGTCGCTACCCAGCGAACATTTGAAAGGGGTTTTCTGCCATTTATCATTTCTCAATCTTTCGTCGCAACAAAGGTAATCTAAACCCTTTCTTGGAGTCTACTCATGACTTTGAACTGTTGAAAGTTGGCGGACGACTTGAATTGGCAGATCTTCCAGAAAGCAGAAAGCACCCTATTTTATTACCTAGCAAATGTGAATTCGTCACGCGATATGTTCGACATCTACACATCAAAAACTATCACGCCGGCCCGAAGGCGCTGGTGGGTTTAATTCGTCTTCAGTTTTGGGTAATTAATGCACGCGATATTGCTAGACGCATCGTCAGATCATGTATACATTGCATTCGATACAAGCCAAAACTACTCCCACACATGATGGGCAATCTGCCTGTTGAACGCTTGACACCATCGCGCCCGTTCGCCCGCTGCGGCATCGATTTTTGCGGACCGATTAGCGTTTACCTTCGCATTAGGGGCAAGGCTCCCTATAAAGCCTACATCGCCATCTTCGTGTGCTTTGCTACAAAGGCAGTACACATCGAAGTCGTCTCTGACTTAACCACGGATGCATTTTTAGCTTCGCTAAAGCGAATGATTGGAAGGAGAGGCCTTCCAACAGACATCTTCTGCGACAATGCAACTAACTTTGTCGGCGCGTGCAGCAAACTTGCGGAATTGAAAGCGTTCCTTTTCAAGAAAGAGAACCAAAATGTCATCACCAATTTTTGTACTAATGAATTTGTGAATTTTCATTTGATTCCCCCCAGAGCACCTCATTTCGGCGGCATTTGGGAAGCCGCAGTTAAATCAGCCAAGGGTCATCTAAACCGCAGCATCATGAACGCCAGACTTACGTATGAGGAGCTGACGACAGTACTAGTGGAAATAGAAGCTGTTCTTAATTCGCGGCCTATCTCTCCACTCTCATCTGACCCCAGCGATTACGAGGCGTTGACTCCAGGGCATTTCATAACCGGCAGTGCGTTAAAATCTCTACCGGAGCGAGCAATAGCAAACAACATCAACCTCGTCAACAAATGGACTCAAATCACCGCCATCAAGCGCGAACAAAGTGGACCACTGACCATGCAAACATTGCAAAGGACGCTATGGTTCTCATCCATGAGGACAATGTGCCGCCACAGCGATGGCAAATTGGACGTGTTACAGAGGCCATACCTGGAAAAGATGCTCGAGTTAGAGTGGTCGACATATGCACCTCGAAGGGAATCATTCGCCGCCCTATCCACAAAATTGCAGTTTTACCAATTTGAAAGTCCTTTCAACGGGGCCGGGATGTTGGGTCACCTAACGACACACCCTGCAAGTTGGCGTAGGTCAAGA